CAAAAGCTATGAAAAATTGAAGAATGATTTGCAATGAAAGAGTAGGAGTTGTGAAGTAATGTGATGTGTAAAACAGACCCAAACACCCCATTTTATAGTAGAAAAATAGGCTCCAACGGACCAAAGTATTTAAGGGGTGATTGGCATAATTTGTGGGATTTGATTAAAATTGGATCTGCTGAAATTCACCCAGACAGCGCTGTCCTAGGCTTGGACATCGCTGTTCTAGGCTTGATTTTTAAAAATTGGGAAGCAACGGTCATGCCAACAGCGATGTCCAAAACCCCTACATCGCTGTTTTGGCTGTTGACTTCCAAACAAGGAAAGTTTTAGCCTTAAATTCCTTCCAACGGTCAGGTCTCTACATCGATGTTCTATCCTAGAACATCGCTGTTTAGGTCTGCCTTTGGAGATGGAAGTTTGGCCTGATAGCGCTGTTGCTGGGTCAACATCGCTGTCCAAAAACTTTCTGCCAATGCACTATATTTTTGGCTTAGGTTGGACAGCGCTGTAGGGAAGCCTACATCGCTGTTCCAGAAGTTTCTGGAAATCCAACCTTGGCTCAACAGCGATGTCTAGTGACCAACATCGCTGTTGGAAGACTTAACGCGAAACCATGTTTTTAGCTACCCAGTCCAGACAGCGCTGTTGATTACCTCAACATTGCTGTTGGGCTGGTTTAGCCAGACCCATGGTTGGTTTAGTCACGCCGTTAACCGATGTAAAAAATGCAAGTTCTCCAAAATAAAAACCAAGTTTGGAAAACATTTTTTTATTGCATTTTACTAAGAGAACAAGTAAAACATCTTGAAAACCACGTCATTTAGTTGAAAACCACGGCTAACCAAGTTTGTGCTGTTTCGCATGGTTTTTACTAAACGACAAAAAATAGAGAGTGGTTTTTGAGGCGTTTTTGTTGGAGAGCTAATTAAATATGCCCAGAGGTAAAAAATAGTCATAAAAAGTTGAAAACCACTTGGTTGGTTCGAACGCCAAAAACCAATGCCGAAAACCGAAAGCCGAATGCCGGTTTCTGAAAGCCGAATGCCGGATGGCTTGGTTTTTGGCTTGGGCGAACTCCAAGTGTTTTGACCCAAGTTTAAACTTAAGAAAAATATTTTTGAACATGTAAAAGAGATTTTTATGAATTGAGCCTAGAGAGCCAAGATTTGGAATTTTGTGCCGGTCTTGATCACATTAAGACCGACTCACTACGATTTTAGTTCTTCGTTCTTGATTCTGGGTTCTTTGTTCTCAAGTCATCATGCCATGTTCCTTCGCCTTAGTTTTGCTCACTTTAGCTTCGATATGTCGCGGCGGTTTGGCATTATCAAAACCTGTCATAAAAACCGAACACAGTTTAGTACGACGTAAGGCGTAAACCCGTGTTCNTTGAGGCGTTTTTGTTGGAGAGCTAATTAAATATGCCCAGAGGTAAAAACCAGTCATAAAAAGTTGAAAACCACTTGGTTGGTTCGAACGCCAAAAACCAATGCCGAAAACCGAAAGCCGAATGCCGGTTTCTGAAAGCCGAACGCCGGATGGCTTGGTTTTTGGCTTGGGCGAACTCCAAGTGTTTTGACCCAAGTTTAAACTTAAGAAAAATATTTTTGAACATGTAAAAGAGATTTTTATGAATTGAGCCTAGAGAGCCAAGATTTGGAATTTTGTGCCGGTCTTGATCACATTAAGACCGACTCACTACGATTTTAGTTCTTCGTTCTTGATTCTGGGTTCTTTGTTCTCAAGTCATCATGCCATGTTCCTTCGCCTTAGTTTTGCTCACTTTAGCTTCGATATGTCGCGGCGGTTTGGCATTATCAAAACCTGTCATAAAAACCGAACACAGTTTAGTACGACGTAAGGCGTAAACCCGTGTTCTAACATCCTCTACTGTGGCTTCCATGTCAACCTGTGCTTCAGTGGTGAGAACAGTCTGATCTTCTGTTGGCTTTGAAAGGATTGGTTTGTAGACTGCAAGATCCTCATCATCACCTTCAAACTCTGAACTTGGAGAGGTGGCCAGGTATTCCAGATGCAGATCTCCATAGGTTTTCTGCCATACCCAGTCATCATCCAGAATTTGCTCACAACAGTGCTTGATTGGCAGTCCCAAACATCTCTTGATAACCTTCTCATTTTTCAGTTGTTGATTCCATTCAATCAACTGATCTGCAGAGTTTCCAACTTTCCAAGCTCTCCAATCATAGTAGAGCTGCATGAATTGGCTCACTTCATCACCAGTTTGAGCTTGTAGTGGGGGAGATGGAAAACTCTGATTTTGAGGGATTTCTTCATCCAGCCGTTGAGGACTCTGGTTGTGTGCAGAGGCTTCCTCAAGTGGTTCCTTTTCCACCAAGTCATCCCGATTTGTATTTCCAGATGTGGAGGAGGAAGAGATTCTTCTTTTCTTCTTCTTCTGAAGTTCACCATGAGCAGGGACTTCTTCTTCATCATCCAAATTAACCAATGCAAGATTTTGTGGTGCTTCAACACTGGGGGAGGGAGACACCACAAGCTTCCTTTTTGATGACTTCTTCAGACTCACAATGAGGACATTGTCTGAAGAGCCTTCATCCTCTGCAGTTGAACTTGCTCTGTTTTCTCCTTTGGAAGACAGATAGTAGAGCCAATATCTGGCATCATACTTCTTGCCTTTAGAGGCAACACCCATGGATTCCAAAATGTACCCAAGGTACAATCCTTGACAGAGATATTTCTGCTAGGGCTTCCCTAAATGTTTTGAAACAGAGTTGAAAAAGTGTTTAGCCCAATTTACCTTGGTTCTGGTAATGAGGGCGTTGATGATGAATGCCCTTTCTTGAGTAATGTCATCAGCATGTCCTCCACTGCCACATTCAAGACATGCAATGACCAGCTCCAGAACCAATTTGTAGTCGTTCTTCAAATCGGCTTTCTTTGCTGGGCCAGAGGGGATTTGTCCAGAAATCCCAATAGTTTTCCAGTCCAGATTCTTGGACGGGAGCCTCCCAATTTCACTTCCAGAATTGGGAAGATGAAGCTTCTTCTCCAATTTCTTCTATGAAATCTTTACTTTGGCGCCTCCAACAGTGGACTTCATAACTTGAATCGTCCTCTGTGGGTTCTTCTTGGATTGAATCGTTGAGATCTTCCCGTTCTTGTAGAATTCAAGAACTTCTTCTTCATACTTGAAGCCGATATCCAGATGAAGGAATTCGGAGAGTTCCTGTGCATCAATCATTTCCAAATAAGTTTGATAGAACGCTGGTGAAGAACATTTGGTTTCCAATTTCTAGAAATGAACATTTGTGCCAACCATCTTCATTTTCTTTGAATTTTGGGTGAAAGAATCTGAATAAATTAGGGTTCTTGAGAATTCTTGTGGGGAAGACAACGAAAATTTTGAGTGGGCTGAGTGGGTAGTTTGAGATCTTAATGTAATGGCGATTGGGTTTAATTTTGGGCGATTTATGCGGCTAATGGCGATTGGGTTTTCAACTGTTCCCAAGGCCACGTGCCTACCCATTATTTTAGTAGACGTGGAAAGTAGGCTGCCACGTGTACCGCACTCGGTCTAATTGAATTAGACCAATTTTGTGAAGCAAATCGGAAAACTTGACTTCATTTAGTGGTTTTGTGAAGATATCCGCCAATTGTTCTTCAGTTCAGATATACTCAATTTTGATATCTTTCTTTTCAACATGATCTCTGATGAAGTGATGCTTGACATCAATGTGCTTAGTACGAGAGTGATGCACTGGATTTTGTGAGATGGCTATAGCACTTTGATTGTCACAAAATATTGTCACTTCCTTTGTTTTGACTCCATAATCCAGTAGTTGTTGCTTTAGCCATAAGATTTGAGCACAACAACTACCAGCTGCAATGTACTCTACTTCTGCTGTTGATGTAGAGATGGAGTTCTGTTTCTTACTGAACCAAGAAACAAGGTTTCCGCCAATGAATTGACAAGTACCAGATGTACTCTTCCGGTCAACTTTGCATCCGGCAAAGTTAGAATCTGAGTATCCCACTAACTCAAATGAGCTGCTCTTAGCATACCATAAACCTATATTCTGAGTTCTTTTGAGGTATCTAAGAAACCTTTTGGCTGCAATTAAATGATTTTCCTTTGGCTTTGACTGAAATCTTGCACAAACACCTACTGCATATGAGATATCCGGACGGCTTGCAGTAAGATAGAGTAGAGATCCAACTATTCCTCTGTAGAGAGTTTAATCAACATCTTTTCCATCTACATCCATGTCAAGCTTGGTGGATGTACTCATGGGAACAGAAACGGATGACTTCTGATCAACTTTGAATTTCTTGATAAGATCCCTTGTGTACTTGGCTTGGTTGATGAGAGTCCCTTCACTTCTTTGTTTGATTTGAAGACCAAGGAAGTAATTGAGTTCCCCCATCATGCTCATCTCAAATTTTCCTTACATGAGGGTGGAGAACTTGGTGCAAATAGCTTCCTTAGTTGAGCCAAATATGATGTCGCCCACATAGATTTGGACCAAAAGAAGATCTTTTCCATCTTGAAGTTTGAACAAGGTCTTGTCAATGACTCCTTTGATGAATCCATTGTCTATTAGAAATTGAGATATGTATCATACCAAGCCCTTGGTGCTTGTTTGAGTCCATATAACGCCTTTTGAGTCTATACACTTCATCGCCTTTAGTGTGTAACTCAAATCCTGGAGGTTGTTCCACATAAACTTCTTCCTCAAGGTTTCCGTTGAGAAATGCGCTTTTGACATCCATTTGATAGACTTTGATGTCCTTATAAGCAGCAAAGGCTAAAAACAGCCTTATACCTTCTTCTTGACAATAACCTTTGGCAACCAACCGGGCTTTGTTTCTGATAACAACGTCGTTTTCATCCATCTTGTTCCGGAAGACCCACTTTGTCCCAATGGCATGTTGATGAGTAGGTCTGGGAACAAGTTTCTAGACATCATTTCTGGTGAATTGGTTGAGTTCTTCTTGGATTGCATTGATCCAGTCAGAATCAGCTAGAGCTTCTTCAATGCTCTTTGGTTCCACTTGTGAAATGAAACAAGCAAGCATGGCTTCTAGATTTTGTTGGGCACTCCTTGTGCGAACGCCTGATTGAATATCTCCAATGACTTGTTGAGGAGGATGATCCCTTAACCAACGAAGATTGTTTTGATTAGGGTTGACTGGTTGATCTAGTTCAGCTTCTGGTTGAAGAACAGAATTTGTTGGTGATTCCGGATGGATTGGCACTGGGTCGCCACTTCCGGAATTGTCGCCATTTGAGTGATCCGGAATATTGGAAGGCTGGCCATGATTTCTGGTAGGCTCAGCACCGTCTGAATCCGGATTCCTTTGGGAAGTCTTCAGTGGTAGACTTCGAATGGAATGAACTCCATAGGCTTCATTCTGTTTCCTTCATTCATTTCTTCATCCTTGTTTGAGAGATCCAGAACCTCATGATCATGCTTTGATGGCTTGTCAACCACATGTTTTTTCATCAAAAATAACATGTATTGACTCTTCAGTGATCATGGTCCTTTTGTTGAAGACTCTGAACGCCTTGCTCACCATGGAATATCCTTGGAAGATGGCCTCATCTGATTTCTCATCAAAAGTGTTCAGATGATTCTTCCCGTTGTTTAACACAAAGCACTTGCTCCCAAAAATATGGAAATATGATATATTTGGCTTTCTCCCATTCCACAGTTCATAGGGAGTTTTGTTGTGCCTTTTATAAATCATACTTCTATTTTGAGTATGGCAAGTAGTGTTTAAGCCTTTAGCCCAAAACCTCTTTCAGCTACACCATTCTGTTGAGGTGTCCTAGCTGCGGATGTCTGATGGAGAATTCCATTTTCTTCACAGTAATGAATCATGATTTCATTTAGGAATTCTGTGCCTTTGTCAGATCTGATCTTCTGGATGGTCTGAATTGCTTGGTTTTGAATTAGCTTCATGCAGTTTGTGAGCTTCCCTTGAGTTTCCTTCTTGCTGTTGAGGAAGATTGTCCACGTGTATCTTAGGTAGTCATCAACTGCCACCAGAACATATTTCTTTCCACTTAGACTTATTGGAGTAACTGGTCCAAATAAATCCATGTGAATAAGACTTAGTATCCTTGAAGTTGAGTGTGTTGGTTTTGTCTTAAAAGTGGACTTGACTTGCTTTCCTTTCTGACAAGCATCACAAATTCTTTCTTCTTGTACACAGCTTTGAGAAGACCTTCTACTAACCCTTCTTTGGACAGCTTGTTGAGAGTTTTGAAGTTTAGATGGTTCAACCTTTTATGCCAAAGCCATAGAAGGTTAGTGTCAACTTTGCTGATTAGGCATGCTTCCTTGACATCGTCCCACATTACTTCGTAGATGTTTCTGATTCTCTTCCCAGTGAGAATGACTTCATTTGTGGAGATGTTCTTGAGGGATGCCATGTCCTTGCAGAATTCCAAAGAATAACCTTTATCACAGAACTGGCTTATGCTAAGAAGGTTATAGTTAAAACCTTCCACATTAGGTACAGCCTGGATGGTTAGTCCCTTGTACACCATATTTCCTAACCCTTTTGTAAGACCAAAATCATTACTTCCTCCAAAAGTAACTCTTGGACCATCATAACGAATTAGATTGCTCAAAAGACTCGCATCACCCGTCATGTGTCTTGAACAGCCACTATCTAAGTACCAGACACCTGGGTATTTAGCGGCTTCCTGCATTAGGAGGAAGAAGATTTTGGTACCCAATTTAGTTTGGGTCCGGAATAGTTAATGGTGTGTGTCCCCACATCAAGTTTGAAATTGCAGGGAATTTTCCTTGCAGCCCTAAACTTGTTGGGATTATAATCATAGTAGTAGGCATAAAACTTTCTACGTGCAGGTGGTGCTAATTCCTATTTCCTCCTAGTAAACCTAGGTTGGTAAGACCTATAGTTTTGTCTAGGTTGTGCATTGTGTGGCCTGTGATGGTTATAAAAATGTTAGACTTGGTTTGCTAAGCCTCATGTTTTGATGTTAACAAACAATATAAGAGCTTGACGTTTGTTTAAGTGTTTCAGGTACAACAAGAATCCATTAAGATTCGGTTCTCAAGAATGAAGTCGAAACACTAAACTAGCGTAGAATATAGGTTGAAACCAATGTAAGGATATGATTTTATATACCTATATTCACAAGCTCAAAAGCACTCACAAAATATGTTTAAAACCATCCCATAAACATTTTCAAATATCTAAAAGGTTTTAAACTCAAACACGAAGGATTAAGGGAATTTTGGAAAACACAAGACAGTGGTACGGTACCCCAAACGGTACCCCATACCGTCGACACGGTACCCTATACCGCCGGCACGGTACCTCTGTACCGTTAGAGGACAGGTACCGCCAGAGCCGGATTGGTTTGCTGTATTACACGGTACCGAGGTACCGCCACTCACGGTACCCCCTACCGTACGCACGGTACCTTGCTACCGTGAGGACGGTACCGGCCTACCGTGACCGTTGGGTTGCTGTTCCTGATTTGTGATTTTGAATTAAATCAACCCTAATCACCTCCCAGCGGCTAATTAACATCTTCCACTATAAATACAAGCCTAATCCTTCATATTTCAACAAGAAACAAAGCTCTAAACATCCTCTCTTTTTATTCCAAGTGTGTTCATCCTTCTATTAATTATTTTCAATATTTTGGCTATTTNAAGAGCCTTAAATTCCTGATTTTTATACACACACTTTGAGCTTGTGTTTCTAGTTATATACTCTCATATTCATAAGTTTGAATTGTATTTTTGAGAGAGTATACTTTCTTTCTACACCGGCTAAGTTTTGTTCTTCATTTTTATATTCTAGCCGTTGTGTAGAATCCTCTTTTGTGTTCTTCAAACACACCTTCTTACGGTTCAGAATAGCCGTTAAATTCTCTTGTTGTAACGGTCAAGGATAGCCGTATAAATCCTTGGGGGAACGATAGAAGATAGCCGTGGTGAAATCTCGGAGTGAATCCTATTGGCAAGGGTTGTTTGCCAAACTAGTGCGGTGCTTTGATGGAGTTCAAGAGACCGGGACTTAGTGGATTCGGAAATCCTTGAGGAGGAGCCTCGAGGTACTGGAGTAGGGAGTTCCCGAACCAGTATAAAGTCGGTGTGCATTTTATTTACGCTTTTATTTCTGCGTTTTATATATTGCTTCCGCATTTGCCAACACCGTTTTTATCAAACTCCGAAAAGATTTTAAACGCCTTATTCACCCCCCTCTAAGGCGTGGGCACAACGACTAAACCGACTAACAATTGGTATCAAAGCGGTTTCGTAGTTAAAAGTGCTTAACCGCATCTACGACAAAGATCCACTTGTTGTGTCCTTTTTAAATTTGAATTTTTAAAATCAGAAAACTTTATTTTCCCTAATTTTTTAAAATTCAAATTTATTGAAAAATTGGCCAAATGGATTCCCAAAGCATTCACCACCCTCCTTTTTTTAATGGCAAAAATTATTCTTATTGGAAAATGCGGATGAAATATTTTATACAATCCATTGATTTTGATTTATGGATAAATATACTTCACGGGCCATTTGTGCCGAGTAATGGTAGCCTTGCAGGTCTTTCCTTGGAGGACAAGAGAAAATTGTCCATGAACGCGAAGGCGATGAACATCCTTCATTGCTCCCTTGGACCCAATGAGTTTGCACGTGTGTGCTCGTGCAAAACGGCCAAGGAGGTATGGGATTTGCTTCAAGCCACGCATGAAGGCGACACCTCCACGAAGCAAACCATGATGGCCCTCGGAAACTCAGAGTACGAAAGTTTCAAAATTGGCCAACATGAGTCAATCCAAGATGCAAATAGAAGGTTCATCGAAATAGTCAACAAGATGGGTAAGTTGGGTAAGGAATATTCTAAAAGTGAACTAAATACTAAAATTTTAATTTCTTTGCCAAAAGAATGGCATAGTAGTATTGTAGATCTTTTACCCAAATGTGCAATGGAAAGCACCACCCACATTTGGTCTTCTTTGTATTCTCACGAGCTTTTGATGATTAAGATGAAAGAAGAATATTTGAGAGAAGATCCAAAACGAACCAATGCGTTCAAGGCATCCAAGGAGGAGTCTAGTGATGACTCAAGTGACTCAAATGATGAGTCAAGTGAAACGGATGAAACATCCGATGACTCTAATTCGTCAAGTGATGAAGAAGACGAAGAAAGAGTAATGAGGAAGAAATACAAGAGTTTTTTCCAATGGAAATTTTTTGAAGACTCAAGGCGGAGAAAATCAAAAGAGAAAGAAGTATATTCCAAGTCGAAGAAAGAACGACATAAGCCAAGGTAAGTTTTTTTTTTTACTTATTGGGATAAGAATTTTTCTGTTGCTTTCAATATTTTTCAAAAATAAAAACTTATCCCATAATTTGCTTTAGCCTTGGTTTGCATGATTAATTATTTTTTTTTAAAAAAAATCATCTTTAAATCATGCCTTTTTAATCCTAAAAAAATCCCTGAAAAATAAATTTTTAAACTTGCTTCATTTTAGGGGAAGTTTTCATTTTTAGGAGAAGTTTCGTTGTAAACGCACCTTTTTCCCAATGATCTGAAAACTATTATTTTTCCTAAAAATTCATTTTGAATAGGGGGAGGGTTTCAAGAAGTTATACATGGCTAAAATTTTCAAAATACCCTTTTTGATTTTAACAAAAGGGGGAGAAGATGTATACTTCAAAGTGGTGCATATGCAACTTGACTTGAGTGCATTCTTGTGTAAACTTTTGCATCAAACCTAAACTTTTATAAACATAAGAAAAAGTTCAAAGTGAGTATTTTCAATATACTTATTCTTAGGGGGAGCTTGCTTTATTATTTTACTAGCGTAGAATATAGGTTGAAACCAATGTAAGGATATGATTTTATATACCTATATTCACAAGCTCAAAAGCACTCACAAAATATATTTAAAACCATCCCATAAACATTTTCAAATATCTAAAAGGTTTTAAACTCAAACACGAAGGATTAAGGGAATTTTGGAAAACACAGGACAGTGGTACGGTACCCCAAACGGTACCCCATACCGTCGACACGGTACCCTATACCGCCGGCACGGTACCTCTGTACCGTTAGAGGACAGGTACCGCCAGAGCCGGATTGGTTTGCTGTATTACACGGTACCGAGGTACCGCCACTCACGGTACCCCCTACCGTACGCACGGTACCTTGCTACCGTGAGGACGGTACCAGCCTATCGTGACCGTTGGGTTGCTGTTCCTGATTTGTGATTTTGAATTAAATCAACCCTAATCACCTCCCAGCGGCTAATTAACATCTTCCACTATAAATACAAGCCTAATCCTTCATATTTCAACAAGAAACAAAGCTCTAAACATCCTCTCTTTTTATTCCAAGTGTGTTCATCCTTCTATTAATTATTTTCAATATTTTGGCTATTT